TTTTTTCCGTGTCCGGCAACGGATCGCAACCCTCAGTGTTGCCCCCGTACCGGACCGGGGACCGGCAATGGGATCGCAAGCCTCGGTGTTGCTCCCGTGCCTCGCTCAGCCAGTGAGCGGGAACCGGTCTGTATGTGGGATCCGAACCCTCGGCGGGAGCGCCTCCGCGCTTCCCAAGCGGCGCACTAGCGTATGTGCCACCGGGTCGGCCCATACCTCCCTCTTTTGAAGCAGCTGCTCACTTGTGTCCCTCTCATTTGTGGACAGAGCCTTGTGGGGACATCTTTCTACATGAGAACTCCCACCTGGGGGTTTCTGAACTGCCTGAATGACTCTTCAAAGTAACCCCACCAGAGACAGAGGGCTGGATGACTGCAGAACATGTAAACCTTGCTTAGCATTGTTTCAGGGAGAATAATAGACAGGCAAAAATCTTTGACGGCTTATTTCTTGGTGTCATAAAATATCCCTCTCATTGAGATTAAAAAAAAAAAAAAAAAAAAAAAAAAAGTAAGTCTTTGCCCAGATGTGGGACTCTGTCAGACCGGGCAGACCCTCAAACACTCTCACTACTGGCTGTCTTCTCTGTCAGCCTGTAGACAGGAAATGTCTTTTATTTGAAGTTAAATAAATTAAATCTGGACTCATATCTTTCTCTAGACACTTTTCAGTTCTTTTTTTTTTTGCATGTTGAGAGAGAGCCACATTCTTTATCTCTCTTCCTTCTTTCACCATCACCCCTCCATCCAATGTGCACCCTGCTCTCGCTATTTGCTAAATCTGTCCTCATCAAGGTCTCTGATCACATTCACTTTCTCAGAATACCCTATATATAAATTCAACCCCCAATACTCCCTATCCCTACTGCTATCCCCATTTCCTGAATTTTTTAATTCATTGCTTATTTTTCTCTGGAGCACTTACTATCATCTCTCTCTCTCTCTCTCTCTCTCTCTCTCTCTCTCTCTCTCTCTCTCTCACACACACACACACACACACCCCCACACACCCCCACACACACACGTCTTTGCTTATTTGTTTTGTTTATTATCTGTTGCTCCCACTCCCCCTCCCGCTCTGCCCACTAGAATAGAGCATCATGAGGTAAGAATTTGTATCCACTTTGTTCATTGCTGGGTACTGATTACTTAGCACAGTGGCACATGGTAGCACATGGTAGATAGTCAATACATACTTGTTGAATTGATGGGATACGATATTGCCCTGGAACTCCTAGAAACTCTTCTGACAACTTTTTCCATCATCTTCATGTTCCATTCTGCCTCTCTACTTACCCACAAAACGTTAGTATTCTCAGACCTCCATCATCAGCCCTTTGCTTTTCTTGTTCTAGTTGTTTTATGCATCACCTAGGCAAAGTTCGTTTTGGTTTTGTTTAAAGATCAATAAGATAATGGACATAAGGCATATGTACCAGGCTTTGACACACTAAGCTACATACTTTTCCACTAGAAATATACAAAACATAGGAAATTGAAACATATATTCCACAAGCAGATTTGTATAATGGTGATTTATACATGCATTAAAGGTGACTCCAAGATACTGTACTATACTGAGCAGATTTTCTGGGTTTGCAGGTTACCATGGCATCTGAACCCATCATGATGGCCCCCATTTGTCTAGTGGAAAACCAGGAGGAACAGCTGATGACCAATCCAAAGGCATTAAAGATCCTTGAGAATATTTCTCAGCCTGTGGTAGTGGTGGCCATTGCAGGGCTGTGTCGGACAGGAAAATCTTACCTGATGAATCGCCTGGCAGGACAGAACCTTGGTGAGTGTTGTCCTGGAGCAGGGCCATTCGCTTGGAACCATTGATAATGCAGCCTGATCACACTTCCTGTAAGGTCATCTTAAGAAAGAGCCTAGTCTCTCCCATTGAAGAACACTTCTAATTCTCACCACCAAATTTACAACCTCGACCTCTATCTGTCCATAAAATCTCATTCTTTTATCCAGCAAAGAATGCTGTCCGATTCCTATCAAAAGATCATTCTACTTGTCCTCTGGATCCCATCCATGCTCACTGCTCAGGAGATGAGATCCTGCCATTATTCCCTTTTTTTCTCTTGCATTACTTTTGTGAAACTACACGGTTATTCCCAGCAGCATAAAATTTAGTTTATTGGGCCCTCTTTTAAAAAATAAAAAAAGAAAGGAAGAAAAAAGGAAGGAAGAAAGGATCCCGTAATTCCCAAATCTCAGAGAAGCTAAGATACACTTTTTTACTTTGTTTTATTGCGATAGTTTAATAAATTATACTTTCTTCTCTTTCTCTTTTTAATATTTTCTAACATGTGAAGTACAACACATACAGAAGAGTCCACAATACATGGACAATAAAAATATAAATATACAGTGACCATCTGTGTAACCACTGCCCAAGTCAAGAAATACAACATCACCAACTTCCAAAAGCCCAAACAACACCTCTTCCACCCTCACTGCAAAGTTTTGATTTCATTGCACTTCTATTTGCTTTTACAAGTATTTTTTATGGTCTACACATTTCTTAAAAAAACAGTTAGTTTGACTTGCTTTTAAAATTGTTGTAATAGGGGGCCGGCCCAGTGGCGCACTGCTACAGTGCGCCGCTTGGGAGCGCGGCGGCACTCCCGCCGAGGGTTCGGATCCCACATACAGACTGGCCGCTCACTGGCTGAGCAAGGTGCAGGCGCAACACCGAGGGTTGCGATCCCGTTGCCGGTGCCGGTCCCGGTCCGGTACGGGCGCGACACTGAGGGTTGCGATCCGTTGCCGGACACGAAAAAAAGACAAAAAAATAAAATAATAAATAAATAAATAAATAAAATAAAATTGTTGTAATAGGAATTATATGTATTCTTTTGTAGATTGTTTTTATCACAAGAAGTTTATAAGAATCATCCACTTTCTTGTATATATCTGTAATTTATTTATTTTCACTACCTTATAGTATGCCATTGAATAAAGATACCACAGTTTGTTCATTTATTGTTAATGAACACTGATATTTTTTCCAGATTTTACTTTTTATGAACTTAACTAATCATAAAACATTTGGTATTTATATCCTGATAGACATGTACTCAAACTTCCCTTTTGTGATATACCTGGAAGTAGAATTGCTAGGTCACACTGTGTGTGTCTGCTTTCAGACTTTCTATAAAACATCAAGTAGATTTAAAAATTTTTGAGCAATGTACAGAATTATTAGCAGCAATTAAGATGTCTCTACATCCTTTCTACCGCTTGGTAATATGAGATATGTTAGGTTGTGCTAATCTGGAGACTGTGTAGTTGTATGTCATATGCCTAACTATAAACAAGTTTGAGCACCTTTCATGTATTTATTGGCCCTTTGTATTTCCTATTTTGCAGAATAATTTTTTACTGGGCTGTATCTTATGGTTCTTATTGATTTTATAAAGAGTCTCCCCATTAATTAATATGTATCCATTAATCTGAAATGTCTTATTTCCCTGCTGACTCAGCACCACTACAAGTTAAACTGCAGACCAATAAATTCTAAGACTATCTCTGTTTCTCTGTCTGTCTTTCCATTCTCACTCTGTATTTCCTCCTTCTCTTATTCTCCCTCTCTTTTTGCTTTCCAATCTCCCATTGGCTTAAAACCAAAATATTTTGCCTTTATCTTTTAAGCAAATTCTTCACCATCAATCAGGGAAGGACAATTTTCTTTCCTGGACAAAATGAATTTTTGGTTTTATTTGAGAGATTAAAGCATTTTTAAAAATAAGAGATAAATATTAGAGTGTTTCGACAACATCATTATTCTTTTCTTTTTTAAATTTTAATTTATCAATATACAATATGGTTGATTTTGATGTCCCTTTACCAATTCCTCCTTTTCCTCCCTCCCTCTCCCCCATTCCCCCATCAATATCATATCTGTTCACTTGTCTTAACAAAAATCAAGGAATTGTTGTGATTGTTGTGTCTTCTTTCCCTACCTCAACCTGCTCATTTGTTTATTTACTTGTTTATTTATTTTTAGCTCCCAGAAATAAGTGAGGACATGTGGTATTTCTCTTTCTGTGTCTGGCTTACTTCACTTAATATGATTTTCTCTAAGCGCATCCATGTTGCTGCGAATTACAGTATTTCACTTTTTTTTATAGCAGAGTAGAATTTCATTGTGTAGATATACCACATTTTCCGTATCCACTCATCCGATGATGGGCATTTAGGCTGTTTCCAACTCTTGGCTATTGTAAATAGCATTACAATAAACATGGGATTATGGGTATCCCTTCAACATGATGATTTCCATTCCTCTGGGTATATTCCCAGCAGTGGAATAGCTCGGTCATATGGCATATCTATCTTTAGTTGTTTGAGGAACCTCCATACCATTTTCCATAAAGGCTGCACCATTTTGAAGTCCCACCAACAGTGTAGGAAGGTTCCTTTTTCTCTGCATCCTCGCCAGCATTTGTCATTCTCAATCTTTTGGATATTACCATCCTAACTGGAGTGAGATGGTATCTCAAAGTGGTTTTGATTTGCATTTCCCAAATACTGAGTGATGATGAGCATTTTTCATGTGTCTGTTGGCCATTTGTATATCTTCCTTTGAGAAATGTCTATTCAGCTCTTTTGCCCATTTTTAAATTGGGTTACATTTTTTTTTCTTTTGGTGTTAAGTTGTTTGAGTTACTTGTATATTCTGGTTATTAATCTTTTGTCAGATGTATATTTAGCAAATATTTTCTCCCACTCTGTTGGATGTCTTTTTGCTCTGTTAATTGTTTCTTTTGCTATGCAGAAACTTTTTAGTTTGTTATAATCCCATTTGTTTATTTTTCCTTTGGTTGCCTGTGCTTTTGGGGTCATATTCATAAAGTCTGTACCCAATCCTACTTCCTGGAGTGTTTTCCCTATGTTTTTTTTTATTTACAGAGTTTTATTGTTTCAGGATGTATATTTAATTCTTTAATCCGTTTTGAGTTGATGTTGGCATATGGTGAGAGGTGTGGGTATAGATTGATTCTCCTACATATGAATGTCCAATTTTCCCAGCACCCTTTGCTGAAGAGACAGTCTCTTCCCCAGTATGTGGACTTGGATCCTTTGTAAAAGATCAGTTGGCTGTAGGTGTATGGGTTGACTTCTGGGGACTCTGTCCATTCCATTGGTCCATGTGTCTGTTTTTATGCCAGTACCATGCTGTTTTGGTTACTATTGCTTTGTAGTATAGTTTAGAGTCAGGTAGTGTTATGTCTCCAGCTTTATTTTTATTTTTGCTCAGAATTGCTTTGGCTATTTGTAGACTTTTGTTCTTCCATATGAATGTTAGGAATGTTTTCTCCAATCCTGAGAAAAATGTCATTGGAATTTTCATGGGGACTGTGTTGAATCTGCAGATCACTTTGTGTAGTATGGACATTTTCACAATGTTAATTCTTCCAATCCAAGGTCATGGGATATCTTTCCATCTTCTTGTGTCCTCTTTAATTTCTCTCAACAGTGATTGGTAGCTCTCATCATAGAGATTTTTCACATCCTTGGTTAAATTTATTCTTAGGTATTTTATTTTTTTGGTGGCTATTGTAAATGGGCTAGCTTATTTGATTTCTTTTTCTGCCAGTTCATTGTTAGAATATAGAAATTCTACTGATTTTTGTGTGTTGATTTTGTATCCTGAAACTTTGCTGAAATCATTTATTAAATAAGAGTTTTTCTGTAGAGTCTTTAGGCTGCTGTCTATATAGGATCATGTCATCTGCAAACAGGGACAGTTTGACCTCATCTTTTCCAATCTGGATGCCCTTTATTACCTTCACTTCCCTAATTGCTCTGGCTAATATTCCAACACTTTGTTGAATACAAGTGGCAAGAGGAGTCATCCTTGTCTTGTTCCCATTCTTAAGGGAAAGGCTTTCAATTTTTCTCCATTCAAGATAATATTGGCAGTGGGTTTGTCATATATGGCTTTAATTGTGCTGGAATACTTTCCTTCTATACCCAATTTATAGAGAGTTTTATCGTGAACGAATGTTGAATTTTGTCAAATGCTTTTTCAGCATCTATAGAGATGACCGTATGGTTTTATGTTTGATTTTATTGATGTAGTGTATCATATTGATTTGCTTATGTTGAACCAACCTTACATCCTTATACTTGATCATGGTGTATAATTTTTTGTATGTGTTGCTGTATTTATTAGCTAGTATTTTATGGAGGATTTTTGCATCTATATTCATCAACGATGTTGGCCTGTAGTTTTCTTTTTTTTTGTTTTGTCCTTGTCTGGTTTTGTTATCAGGGTGATGTTTGCCTCATAGAATAAATTTAGGAGAGCAGCCTCTATTTCAATTTTTTGGGATAGTTTGTAGAAAATTGGTATTAATTCTTCTTTAAAGGTTTGGTAGAATTCTGCAGTGAAGCCATCTGGTCCTGGGCTTTTCTTTGTTGGGAGACTGCTGATAACTTCAATCTCTTTGATTGCTATGAGTCTGTTTCAATTTTCTGTGTCTTCTTGGCTCAGTTTTGGTAGTTTGTATATGTCCAAAAATTTATCCAATTCCTCCAGATTTTCAAGTTTGTTGGCATATAGTTGTTTATAGTAGTCTCTAATGATTCCTTGTATTTCTGAAGTATTGGTTTTCATATCACCATTTTCATTTTTAATTTTTATTTGTGTCTTCTCTCTTCTTTTTTCAGTTAGTCTTGCTAATGATTTGCCAATTTTGTTTTACTTTTCAAAAAACCAGTTAGTTTTCTATTTCATTTAGTTCTGCTCTGATCTTAATCATTTCTTTCTGTCTACTAACTTTGGGCTTGGTTTGTTCTTGTTTTTCTAATTCTTTACGGTTGAGTGTTAGGTTGTTTACTTGCCATCTTTCCATTCTTCTGAGGTAAGCATTTAGTGCAATAAATTTCCCCCTAGTACTACTTTTGCAGTATCCCACAAGTTTTGATATGATGTGTCATTATTTTCATTAGTTTCAATAAATTGTTTGACTTCTTGTTTAATTTCTTCTCGGACCCATATGTTATTAAGTAGAGTGAACAACATCATTTTTCTATTCAAGAGGATGCCAATTAGAAAATGAGGCAATTTCCTACTGTTCTGCTGGCAAAATTCCCTGGTCTCAGAATGTTTTAAACATCTAAGTTGTGACTGTACCACCCTCCCATATCAGGGAAACAGCAGAAAAAAAAAAGAGACTCGATCCCAGTCAAAGTCCACCAGCAGTGCCAGATCACTGTGCTCTCTCTTTGGCAGTGATGTGTTTTCTGTTTTTTAACCTCTAATTACTGAGAGTGTGACCAACTGTTACAGCTGGCTTTTCTCAGTAGGGGCACTGAAAGTTGGGTTCACTCTATACTGATCAGCTGGCAATCAAGTAGTATGACATGAGTGCCAACCAATTCATGTCTTTATACCCTCTCCTTGAAGAAAGCACAGAGCATGGGGACTGGATGGCTACAGCCATGCTGAATCACATTCCCCTGGGTAATATACCACACCTGTTTCTATTCTCACTTGAAGGAATCATTAGCATATGGCAGATCAAATTACTGGACTATTGGACACAATATACATCCACAGTTTCCTGGGCATAGCCCTCAAGTTCTCTCCCCACTATGGAATTACTCCTTTGGGGAAAAAAAAAGCTTGGAAGACTCACAATAATTTTCTGATTTCTCTCTGTTATATCTCCCTTCCTGAGGTAATAATGTAGACTCATCATTTGCTTGGAAAGGAGAAAGGAAAGAAGGATATACAGAGAGAAAAGGGAGGAGAAAATGCAACCAAAGTAAGTCCAGGTCCCACAGGACATGGATGTTCCACCCGAGAGGTAACTGAGAGTGTTTAATGGATAGACTACTTACAAGGGCTTAGAGAGGGTAAAGGGAACCAATAAGATATGAAAATTTACCCCAAGAGTGGCAATAGCAATCACAGAGAAGCCATTATTAACCCTAAACTCAAACAGGCAAACAGAGAATGCATACCAGAGCATGTCAAGGACCAGAGCTATTGATGGTGCTTCGGGAAAGAAGCTGTGACCTCAGGACGAGCAATAGCCATTGAGACACCATGGGCCAGCAGGATGAGAGTGGGGTAACACATGCTGCTTTCCATTCACCTGCTGATCTTCCCACTATGCTAACTCTACCAGAAGTTGTAGGACAAGGAATCTCTGCAATATAGGCCAGACAGTCAGCCTCCTGGAGCACTGACCAGGATGCAGAGAGTAAAAAGTGAATTCAGTAGGAGAAAATGTGAGGGGGACAATGAAAACTGGTATCTCAAAATCTTATCCACTGTGCTGGAAATTATAGCCCTTCTTCAGCAATATATTGAACCTTGGAACACTCATTACCTCCTCCCTCTTTCCTCACTTTCCTATCTATGTACTCTCCAAAATTTATCCATTACCTTCATTCTCTTGTCTACTATTTCCACCCTAGTTGACCACAACATTATATCCAACTGTTGACCTGTGCAGGGTCAGTGTAGTCCACATAGCATCAGGCCAGAGTCAGGAGCCCTGTGTTGAAGTGCAGTAGAAGTGCCAAACAGTTACAGTTTCTGAGTTTCAGTTTCTTCATTCACAAAATGAGTGACTGGTCTAATGGGTCACTGAGTTCATCTTACCTCTGTAATTACAGAAGCCTTCTAACTACTCCAACATCCCAATTCCTAACCACTCCTCTATTCTAATACCACACTAATGTTTCTGAGTATATTTTGGTTTTATTACTATCCATCTCAAAAACTTAAGTAATTTTGTTGTCAAAAAGTTGGGTCTCATTACCTAGGCATTCACAGCCCTACATTATAAATTCTGCAACTACATTTAAAGGCTCAGTCCTCATTCCTCCATTACTGGAAGCCTGTTTCAGCAGAACTGGACCAGAGTAGCTACTCAAGGTGTCTTTCCCATGTCAGTGTCTTCTCCATTTAGGTGGCCTTCTCTTGACCTAGCCCCAAGTAAAGAAAAAGAGGCATTACATGAAGATGAATAGAAACATGGAATTCTCATCCTAGCCTTCTTTCTAATTCTGCTTTGAATGCATGCTTTTCATTTCTTCCTGATTGCCAGATACAAATACAGCTTAATAGAGTTCACCTTGATTCTGTAATGTGACACAGTTTGAGCCTTCAAAGGAGTGAGGTGAATAGGGGACACAACATGTTTTTAAGAATGTCATTAATATGTTTAAAGTTTGGATTGGTTGACCTTGAGGAAATGAAAGCAAACCCTCTCCTTGCCAGGCACTTACATTCTTACAAGTTTACTCATTGTCATTCTGGACTGTCTGAACGCTGCTGTCACAATATGTTGTTTCTCCTCTTCCCTTGCAGGCTTCCCTCTGGGATCCACAGTGAGGTCTGAAACCAAGGGCATCTGGATGTGGTGTGTGCCTCACCCCACCAAGCCCAACCACACTCTGGTCCTTCTGGACACTGAGGGCCTCGGTGATGTAAAAAAGGTAAGAGAGAGAGTCACTGAATAATCTTCTTTGCTCTTGCCTTTTAATTCACCATCTTAATTCGACTTCTATGTATATGCTTGCAAATTGCAAATGCAAATTATAGATAGTGGAGTTAAATTCTCTTACCTCGACCTTCCCTAAGAGCACAAATATTTTGGTGTTCTAGGACATGGTTTTTATCTTATTTTTAACAATGTACTTAATGACACAATTTAATACTTTTTGAGCAGGTGAATCTAGGATTCTGTGCTATGTACCACAGTCACAACAGTGAACACAGAGGGTAGATGGGGAGACAAGTACATAGTATAATCAGTAAAGGGCGCCATGGATACAACCCAGTAGTGTGGGTTAGAGGAAGTTTCCTAAGGAATCATTATCTGAACTGTGACCCATCAAGTCAATGGCAGCCACCAGTTAAAGTCTGTGGATTGAAGACGTTGGATGTTAGAGTCTAGAAAATAGGATTTCAGTGAAGTGATCTATTTAAATAATCTCCAGAAAAGCTTCATCTACTCAAGGAACATTCATAATGTTTTTAGTTCCAGTTTCCGTCTTTGGAGATTAAATCTTTACTGAATTTTAAAAAGCATTATCTTGCCCAATAGAAAGCATTATAAAGAGATTAATTTTATGTGTTGTCTTTATGGTATTAGGTGCAATCATTTGTTTCTTTATTTTGTCTTAGTGTGAATCTACACGGAATGAAGTAGCAGTAAATTGTTAGCTTCCATTATAGCCCAGAAAAAGAACAAAATATTTAAAAATTATGAATTAAATTTTAAAAAAATTTTTTAAAACTTTAAAAGCCTTAAAGTCTTCAATGTAAAAGAAAGTATAAAATGTAGATGAAAGGGAAACTAAAACAATCCTTAGTCCTCAAAACTTTACCTTGACATATGTTTAAATCCAGCATGTTTTTTCCTTCTTTGTACCAGAATCTTTCCCAACTAGGACAAAAACTACCATCTTGTTACCCTTCCAGTACCATCAGACTAATTCCCAGTTAATTAAATGTACTCCAATTATGTCCCCCTAATACCTCTCACTCTTGATGGTGAAGTAAAGTATATTTTGGCCCAAACTTGCTTCTTTTTATCTAATTGCATTTGTACAAAACACCAAAGCATACCAAATTATACATGATTGATAGCAGCAGAGCTTCTTGCTGAATTTAGAACATGTGGTTTGATTTGAGAAGTATCTAATCCTATTTGCATATCCTCAAGGCCCTTCACATCTGAATCTCCTTCCCAGCCTTGCTTTTCACGCCCACATATCTGTCCACTGCCCCAAATGAAATAACTCTATAACATCTTTACATGACTGTGCTTTTAACAATTCTGAGTGAGCTTGTGTTGGTACTTTTACTTACATGCTCCCTTCATTGCTACAGGGCCACATTCTTTTTGTCTTTTTTCGTGTCCGGCAACGGATCGCAACCCTCAGTGTTGCGCCCGTACCAGCCCGGGACCGCCAACGGGATCGCAACCCTCGGTGTTGCGCCCGCACCTCGCTCAGCCAGTGAGCGGGAACCGGTCTGTATGTGGGATCCGAACCCTCGGCGGGAGCACCACCATGCTCCGAAGCAGCGCACTGTAGCAGTGCGCCACCGGGCCGGCCCTACAGGGCCACATTCTAACAACTCTTTAAACCCAGCTCTGTTTACTCACTGTCCTGATTTCACAGTCAGAGACAGTCTCGTCTTGCTCTTAATTCTTAGGGTACTTGTTTTCATTTATTGGACTTACCCCTTTTTCTTTTACATTATAGATTTAGGTTCCACTCCTGGCAAAAATGATTAATTTGATTGCAGTTGTGTGTTTACTTAGTTTACTGCTTGTACAGAAAGTCATCTTCTTGAGGGCAGAGACTGTCATACGGAACTTTGCATCCACATGACCATATGCGACTGCCTTGCATCAAGTATTTGCCCAGTGAATAGGTATTGAATGTAATAAATAACATTGTGTGTCTAATGTTGACCATGATAGACAAGATTTGCTAAAGAAATAACCACCTGCTCTTTAGTGTGCATTCACTAATGACTACTACGTTCTAGTCATTGTCTTAATGAAAACATTAAGGAGTGAATGAAAAGTGGTCTCCTTAATTCTCTTACTCTAACATGCTTTCTAGAATGACCCTAAGAATGACTCGTGGATCTTTGCCCTGGCTGTGCTCCTGAGCAGCACCTTTGTCTACAACAGCATGAGCACCATCAACCACCAGGCCCTGGAGCAGCTGCAGTATCCTTCCAGGAACTGAACTACCAAGATTTATTGAGTTTATAGTTATGGCAACTGAGACTGTTTCGTCTCTTCTATGACTTAATTGTCATGGTTGGGAAGGGAACACAGGGCACAAGAAAATGGTTATAACATTTGTTTCTAAGTGAGTTCTACGTTGTAGTGTAGAGCACTTCTCCTTCCTTAGCTAAGTTCCCAGCTACGTGACTGAACTAACAGAGCTCATTAGGGCAAAATCCTCCTCAACACCTGGTGAAGTAGAGGACTCCACCAACTTTGTGAGTTTCTTTCCAGACTTTATTTGGACTGTTCGGGATTTCACCCTGGAGCTGAAGATAGATGAGCAACCAATCACAGAGGATGAGTACCTGGAGGATGCTTTGAAGCTGATTCCAGGTATCAGAGCACAGCCCAGGTGGTGGAAGGTTCAGTGTGGATGCAATCACCTGAGGGCTGTTATTCAGCACTTGACTTCAATTTTTTATTTGACACTGGATTAAGATACATTCTAGTAGTGAGTAGTAAATGTGAATGGTGACTGGTGATTGGTTTTCACAGGTTATTCCTTCCAAAGCTCTAACAGTTGGAGTAAGACAACAGAAAATTTAAGAATCTGTATTAGACCAAATGATTTTAGACCAATTGATACTGTGAAAAAAAATTTCTGGTTTCAATCAGCGCTATAACTTCCAAAGGCCCATGTACTTAACTTTCTTATTACATGCTTCTCCTGTTCCATGCTGACAAAAGTAGCTCATTAGTTTGGAGACTGCTAAAAAAAAGAATCACGAAGAAAGATCTAATTGTTTTATTGTGGTAAAATATACATAACATAAAATGTACTATTTAAACTATTTGTAAGTGTACATTTCTGTGTCTGTAAATACATTCAAAAGATGTGCAACCATCACCACCATCCAACCACAGAACTTTTTCACCTCCCCGAACTGAAACTCTTTACCCACTAAAGAATAACTCCCCATTTCCTCCTACCTGCAGCCCCTGGCAACCACCAGTTTACTTTCTGTGTCTGTGAATTTGATCACTCTAGGTATCTCATATAAGTGTAATCATATATGTGTTTTTGTGACTGGCATATTAGCATAATGTCCTCAAGCTTCATCCATGTTGCAGCACATGTTAGAATTTCCTTCCTTAAAAGATCTAATTTTTAAAAGATTTCATGCAAAATATTTTACTAGTACCTGAATAGTTATATATTTCAAAGAAAGGATATTTATAAAACATACACTTAGTGTATAGAAAGAAATTGACATATCCTTTCAGCAAGACTTTCAAATCCTTCATTATGCCTTGCTCATGATTTCACTCTTTTTATTCTTATAGTCTTAAACTTTATGTTACCATTTGAATATTATAAATTTACTACACGGATTTTATTTATCAGGGTGGATAAATGTTGGCATCTGGAAGCAACATCCATTTTTATTTATTCACTCATTTATTCATTCCTTAATAAAACATTTATTGAACATCTGATATATGCCCTAGAATTACTCTGTAAGGAACTATCAGTTCTGATATATATATAAGCGGTGAGGTCTCTAAGTTACATTTAGGTCAACCTTACTCTTTGCAGTTTTACTCTAAAAAATTTGTTAAATATGTTTATGGTGTGTGTATATTTTGGATCTGAATTTTGAAAGTTTTTCTTTACTGATCTGGGTATCATTTCTCCTCCTGCTGATATTTTTATGACCAACATCTTTACCCTTCTTCCTGGCATTCCCTTATTTTAGGGCCCACATTTCATTTCTGACATGGAGAAGTAGGATCAGGAAAGCACCTCTGATCATTTTTTCATTAGTCATTCATTCAATGAACATTTAATAAATATTTAGTCCACCAAATTCCATGCAGGTGCTGAGGAATCCAACAATAAATTTCTTCACATGGCATGGATGCCTCTCTTTCCTCTGCAGAAGTACTTCCAGCCTTTGTGATTGGCACAAGGTTGATTTGCAATAAGGTAACACATGTTAGGATTAAAGAGAATTTGTAGACACAGGAGCTGCATTGATGCAAAGATCTCTGGGAATGAAAACCCTCAGCCCTGTTGTCTGAATACTGCCCTTTTAATTATTTCTATTTCTCTACGTATGCAGGCAAGAATCCCAAAATCCAAGATTCCAACATGCCTAGAGAGTGCATCAGGCATTTCTTCCCAAATCGGAAGTGCTTTGTCTTTGACTGGCCAACAAGTGACAAAAATCTCTTATCCCATATGGATGAAATGTCAGAAGACCAGCTGGATAGTAATTTCCAGGAGCAATCAAAAAATTTCTGTTCCTATATCTTTACCAATGCAAAGACGAAGACCCTGAGAGAAGGAATCATTGTCACAGGGAACCGTGAGTCACCTTTGCCCCAAAGCATATTTCTGTGCTCAGTGTGAGTGGTAAAGCTTTGATTATACTGTGGGTCTGTTACTAATTTTGCTTTGCATTTGTGTGTGAATGTTGTGAGGTAATTATTTATGTCATAAAATAGAGAAATATATTTTTTTAAAGTGTCCCTATATGAGGGTATGCTGAGACCTAATATGTCTAATATATATCTAATATATCTCAAGAACTTAATAAAAGGACACAATTCAATTAAAGATAGAAAATCCACATTGTAAGGAGAAGTCCTATGGGATGAGTTCTTGTTAGGGAGGGTACAGCTGATTCTGTGAATTTACCTGAGTCAGACAATAAACAGGAGACCTTGAGTTTCTGCAAGCTCACTGGAAGTTTGAGAAACAAAAGTACATAGAATGTTATGTACAGGGCAGGCTTCATAGGCATGTGATTTATACAGTTTTGTGCTGTGATGAGATGAGCCCATGCTGGGTTTAGTGCACTCTGTCCCTGCATGGTTTTGAATTCTTGATGATTTTTTAAACTAGAAATCCCACATATTCATTTTATACTGGGTCACAAATTCTGTAGCTCGTCATATTTATGTTCATTATTTTGCCTGTCTTCTATTTATTTTTATTTTCTCTGAATGGGGAAGTATTTTTACAGGGTACCCATGAGCATATTAGTTGTAATCAGTAAGTTAAATTATAATGTGAAGAATTGGTGAAAAATAAAAAAGAGAGAGATTAGGAAAAACAATAATGTTAGTAGATTTCTAAAAGAACAAAATAAAATAAATATTCATTGAAAATATAGTTTTTGTGATTTTAGAATGCTGCTACATTTACATAAAAACTGTAAACCAGTGCCTGAGAATTTTATATTTATCCCAAAATGTCCTGGTTTTTTCAGGGCTTCAGAATCTGGTGGCGACCTACGTAGATGTCATCAAGAAGGGAGAGATACCTTGTTTGGAGAATGCAGTGACAACTCTGGCTCAGCGTGAGAACTTAATGGCAAAGAAGAAGGCAGCCGACCACTACAGTGAGCAGATGGCCCGGCGCTTGACGATCTGCCCAGACACACTCCAGGAGCTGGTGGACGTGCACACGGCCTGTGAGAAGGAAGCCCTTTCAGTCTTCATGGAGCTCTCCTTCAAGGATGAAAATCGGGAATTCCAGAAGAATCTTATGGTACTGTGTCCTAGTATTTATTCTTCCTAAATCCTGCTCTTCTGAAATGATCCTTAGAACTACCTTTTCTTTTCTTTTTTTTTCCTTTTTGTCTTTTTTACTGACCGGTAACGGGATCGCAACCCTCGGTGCTGCGCCCGCACCGGGCTCAGCCAGTGAGCGGGAACCGGTCTCCACATGGGATCTGAACCCTCGGCGGGAGCGCCGCCACGCTCCCAAGCAGTGCACTCTCCAGTGCACCACCGGGCCGGCCCTAGAACTACCTTTTCTACCCTATCACTCATCTAATACAATGGTAAAAAAGAACCTGGATTCCTGTGAGTGACAAGACTCCACAGGGCTAAAGTTCATCCTTTTACTAAAAGGTGGGCACTTTGTTACTTTTCCGTTCCTTCATAAAAATTACCATTGAATTTAGCGACTTAAAATAACAAACATAAACAAGTATACTTTTTAAATTTTATTTTATTTTATTTTACCTCTCAAAATACATTGTACTTGACTTTCATGCCCCTTTACCCATTCCTCTCCAACCCTTCCCCTCCCCCCACACATCATATCTGTGCACTTGACTTAAATAGTTCAAGGAATTTTTGTGGTTATTCTGTCTCCCCCCCCCACCCTTTATTTGTTTGTGTGTTTATTTATTAATTTTTAGCTCCCACAAATAAGTGAGAACATGTAGGATTTCTCTTTCTGTGCCTGACTTGTTTCACTTAATATAATTTTCTCTATGTCCATCCATGTTGTTGTGAATGTTAGTATTTCATTCTTTTTTATAGCAGAGTAGAATTCCATTCTGCAGATGTAGCACAGTTTCCTTATCCACTCATCAGATGATGGGCATTTGGGCTGGTTCCAGCTCTTGGCTATTGTATATAGAGCTGCAATAAACACTGGAGTACAGGTATCCCTTCAGCCTGATGATTTCCATTCCTCTGGGTATATTCCCAGCAGTGGAATCACTGGGTCATATGGTAGATCTATCTGTAATTGTTTGAGGAACCTCCATATCATTTTCCATAAAGGCTGCACCATTTTGCAGCCCCACCAACAGTGGATGAGAGTTCCTTTTTCTCTGCAACCTCTCCAGCACTTATCATTCTCAGTCTTTTATATGTTAGCCATCCTAACTGGAGTGAGATGCTATCTCAAAGTGGTTTTGATTTGCATTTCCCAGATGTTGAGTGAAATTGAGCATTTTTTCATGTGTCTGTTGGCCACTTGTATATCTTTCTTTGAGAAAGACCTGTTCAGCTCCTTTGCCCATTTTTTAATTGGATTATTCATTTTTTTGTTGTAAAGTTGTTTGAGTTCCTTATATATTCTGGATATTAATCTTTTGTCAGATGTATATTTTGCAAATATTTTCTCCCACTCTGTTGGTTGCTTTTTTACTCTGTTGATTGTTTCTTTTGCTGTGCAGAAGCTTTTTAGTTAGATATAATCCCATTTGTTTATTTTACCTTTAGCTGCCTGTACTTTGGGGGTGCTATTCATGAATTCTGTAACCACTGCTACCTCCTAGATTGTTTCCCTTATGTTTTCTTTAAGGAGTTTTATTGCTTCAGGATGTATATTTAATTCTTTAATCCATTTTGAGTTGATTTTGGTACATGGTAAAAGATACGGGTCTAGTTTCATTCTCCTACATATAAGTATCCAGTTTTCCCAGCACCACTTGTTGAGAATGCGGTCTCTTTCCCAGTATGTAGCTTTGCTGCCTTTGTCAAAGATCAGATGGCTGTAGGTGTGTGGGTTTATTTCTGGGTTCTCTACTCTACTCCATTGGTCTGTGTGTCTATTTTTATGCCAGTGCCATGCTGTTTTGGTTACTGTAGCTTTGTAATATAGTTTAAAGTCAGGTAGTGTAATGCCTCCAGCTTTATTTTTTTTTGCTCAGAATTGCTTTGGCTATGCGTGGTCTTATGTTGTTTCATATAAATGTCTGGATAGCTTTCTCCATCTCAGAGAAAAATGTCACTGGAATTTTGATGGGGATTGTGTCGAATCTGTAGATCACTTTGGGTAATATGGACATTTTCACAATGTTAATTCTTCCAATCCAAGAGCATGGGATATCTTTCCATCTTCTTGTGTCCTCTTTAATTTCTCTCAACAGTGGTAATAATTAAGATCAGAGCAGAACTAAATGAAATAGAAATAAGAAAAACAATGCAAAAGATCAATGAAACAAAAAGTTGGTTTTTAAAAAAGATTAATAAAATTGACAAACTTTGAGAAAGACTGAGAAAATTAGATAGAAGACCCAAATAACAAAAATTAGAAATGAAAACAGTGATATTACAAGTGACACCTTAGAAACCAGGAATCATTAGAGACTACTGTAAATATCCATATGCTAACAAATTTGAAAATGTGGAGGAAATGGAAAGATTTCTGGGTGCATACAAATTACTAAAACTGAGCCAAGAAGATATAGAATATCTGAACAGACCAATAACAATAAAAGAGATTGAAGCTGTTATAGAAGGCTGCCATCAAAGAAAAGCCCAGGCCCGGATGGGTTCACTGCCTAGTTCTACCATATCTTCAAAGAGGAATTGATACCAATTCTCTGCAAAATGTTCCAAAAGATTGAAACAGAGGCCATTCTCCCAAACTCATTCTACGAGGCAAACATCACCCTGATACCAAAACCAGACAAAGATGCATTAAAAATAGAAAACTACAGGCCAATATCCTTGATGAATCTAGATGCAAAAATCCTCAATAAAATACTAACAAACAGAATAAAGCAACACATACAGAAAATTATACACCATGATCAATGGGATTCATCCCAGGCATGCCAGGTTGGTTCAACATATGCAAATCAATAAATGTGATGCACCACATTAATAAAAGCAAAGACAAAAACCACATGATCATCTCTATTGATGCTGAAAAAGCATATGACAAAATTCAACGTCCTTTCATTATAAAGATTCTCTACAAGTTAAACATAGACAGAAAGTATTTCAACATAATTAAAGCCATATATGATAAGCCCACTGCCAATATTATCCTGAATGGGGAAAAGTTGAAAGCTTTTCCCTTAAAAACAGGAACTAGACAAGGATGCCCACTCTCACCACTCCTATTCAACATAGTGTTGGAAGTACTAGCCAGAGCAATCAGAGAAGAGAAGGAAATAAAGGGCATCCAGATAGGAAAGGATGAAGTCAAGTGGTCCCTTTTTGCAGATGATATGATCCTATATATTGAACCAGACTAAAGCTTCTATTAAAAAACTCCTAGAGTTGATAAATGATTTAAGCAAAGTTGCAGGTCACAAAATCAACACACAAAAATCAGTAGCATTTCTGTACTGCACCAGTGAACATGCAGAAAAAGAAATCAAGAAAGCTAGCCCATTTGCAATAGCCACCAATAAAATAAAATATTTAGTAACAAAGGTGACCAAACATAAAAGAGTATAAGCTCATCATTCTGTAAATTAGAAGTCGGACACCAGGTGGCTTGGTGCTGTGCTCAGGCTTATCACAAGGTGGTAATCAAGGTGTCAGCCAGAATAAATTCTTATTTACGGTTTCTGAAGAGCCTCCAAGCTCATTGAAGTTGTTGGCTCAATTCAGTTATAGAAATCATGATCCCTTCCTTTTTTTCTTTTTCTAGCTATCAGCCAGGGGGTGCTTTTAACTCCTAGAGTTGTTTTTTCCCCCCCCATATGTCTCCACATTCTCTTTTCCATCTTCAAGCCAGCATTGAATCTTTTCCATGTTTAAATGTCTTTGATTTCCTCTTCTGCCACTGGAAAAAAACTCTCCTCTTTTAAAGATCTCACATGATTATCTAAGGCTGCTCTATTCCCAAACCCCTACCCACTCTGGCCATTATCTCTATTTTCTAAAGTCCATTTGTGCCATATAACATAACCTAACCACTGGAATAAAATTTATTAAATTCACAGTCCCAGGAACTATACAATTGTGTGCATCAGGGAAAGAAAATTTTAAAGGATCTCTTAATTCTGTTTGCCATAGGCACCTTCACTTGAAGTTACTCTTTTGATCTGTCTCTGACCAGTCTACAAGTGAAAATCTGTTAGTTCACCTTGAATAATTGCCAAAAAGTCAGCTGGATTGTAATTTTCTAGAAAAGGGGAAATTTCCATTCCTATATCTTCACACACTCAAATCCTTATTTAAAATAATTCATGAAGAGTTCCAAATTCTATTCAGAGTGCACTTAAATCAGTACTGTGAAGTTGATTTATTATGTATATATTTTCAACTATAGAACCCACACTTTCTGAGCAAACTCTACTTCAAGTCATAATGGAATTTTTCACTGCTCATTATTGATGGATAGACCACAGTTAAATGTCATTGCTAAGTGACCTATAGAGTTTATGTCTTCCAACCCCATCTTTTACAGATATTGAGCTTAAACCCAAGGAAGTTAAGGGTCTTCCTACAGGTCACACAGAAAATTGGTCATAACTTAGACTATAGCAACTCTTCTGACTCCTGGTCCTTTCCATATCCCAGTTCACTCTGAAGCCATCAGACTGCTTCTTCCAAGAAGATCACAGTTGGATCTTCCCTTCTAATAGCACCTTCTTTTCCATTTCTACACATTTTTCCTGGCAGGATACCATAGAAAAAAAGAAGGGGGAATTCTTTCTGCAAAATGAAGAGGCATCTGTAAAATATTGCCAGGCTGAGCTTACGAAGCTTTCAAAGCCCCTAATGGAAAGCATTTCAGAAGGAACCTTCGCTGTACCTGGAGGGTACAAACTATACCTAGAAGCAAAGAAAAAGTTTGAACTAGACTATGAACTAGTTCCCCATAAAGGATTTAAGGTGAGGAATAAGGGGAAAGGGGGTGGCCAACAGAATACGATCAGATGGTCTTTGTTGTTCCTTCTGAAAATCTAAGACTGCAGCACCATTTGTGGAGAGAAAGCAGAACACAGTGCTATCTTGACATTTATAGTTTTTATATTCACAATTAGTTAAACACTCTTTTTTTTTTTTTTGTCTTTTGTCTGTTTTCCGTGTCCGGCAACGGATCGCAACCCTCAGTGTTGCCCCCGGACCGGACCGGGGACCGGCAACGGGATCGCAAGCCTCGGCGTTGCTCCCGCGCCTCGCTCAGCCAGTGAGCGGGAACTGGTCTGCATATGGGATCCGAACCCTCGGATGGGAGCGCCACCGCGCTTCCCAAGCGGCGCACTATCCAGTGCGCCACCGGGCCAGCCCTAAACACTCTTAAGTAAACCAGAGATATTTTGTCTCAAAGAGGATTTAGAATGAGGAATTCAGGTGAAACAAACCTTTTCCTTCATGTATCAGACATGTGATAATATGTGTGCTAAGCCCAGGGATATAAATATAATACACGACTTTGTTCTCTAGATGCTGGTGATCTTTCCAGAGATGCAGGCAAATAGTCAACTGAATATGGTGTGAAAAGTGTTATCATACTGGTATGCTAAGATACTGGTATGGATGATGATTATGATGGTGATGATAACGGTGGTAGGGGTAGTGGTCATTAAGACACACTGAACACTCACTATATACCAGACATGGTCTTAGGTGCTGTTATTGGATTATCAATTTAATCCTCAGAGTAATATTATTAGGTACTACTGCTATCTATATTATACAGTGAGAAATGTGATGCACAAAGAAGTTAAAAAGTTGCTTAAGGTCATGTAGCTAACAAGCGTAGAGCTGGCAGGGCAGCTCAGAGTACTTAGAGGCTATCAGAGCTTAGATGGCAGCTTAGGTAAGGTTCTTGGAAGGTAGTTCCAAGAGGTATAAGATGAAGTATCAACAGATTTTAGCTTTTTATAAAAAAGGCTAGAAGAGCTTTAAGGCAAAGCAAAAGAACATGAGGTACATATAAACGGTGTATATTATGTGTTAATAGAACTACAGGTAAGTCTAGTTGACTGTAACCTGCAGTGGGTTGTGGGAGGCATCAATGGGAAAAGAGACTGGAGAGCTAGGAAGGAGGTTACAATCAGTGTTTCTGTGTCCCATCAATAGGCTTGGAATGCAAAATCTCCAGGGTCAGATTTGAGGTTTTATTGAACAATAATTTCCCCAGTAAGAGACTAAATCTTCGTCACCTGACATATCTTTCTTCCTTGTTGGTTTCTCAGGCAAATGAGGTCCTCCAGCACTTCCTGCTGTCTCAGACAGCAATAGAGAAATCCATCCTGCAGTCAGACAAAGCCCTCACCGATGGAGAGAAGGCCATAGCAGGTACTGGGAAAGGGCTCAGCCCACAGCAAGTGGGTAAGTTCCTGCAATATCCTCTGAGAGGTCTGACAGGAAGACCTTCCTGCAACAAGGAGCTTCCTCTCCTTCTGTGAAAAGTACACTCTGCTTAATCTGAAAATACAGAGTTGTGGTTGTACATAAGCCAGTCAGGGCTTTTCCCACCACATTATGAAATCAGCCCTTGATGAAGTGGCCATCAGGTGAATTCAGAGATTTCCCAGTTATCTTCTCAAAGTCAGTTTGGTCTCTGAGCTTAGAAAGCTCAGGTTTGACCTGTTATTTTCTTCCCTTTAAAAATTTTCACGGGAGCAGTGGAGCGGGCCAAGAAGGAGGAAGCTGAGATGAAACAGGAGCAGCTAAGAAAAAAAGAGGAGGAGGAAATGCAAAAGATGGAAATGCAACAGAGAAGCTACGAGGAAAACATAGCCCAGCTGAAGGAGAAGATGGAGAGGGATATAGAGAACCACAGGGTAATTCTGAAAAGGATGCTGGATCATTACATGAGGGTAAGTCTGGCCTGAGCCTGGGCAGTGCCTGACAGACAATTCCCTGTTTTCTCAGGAAGAGGACAAAATGTTAAAGTCCTGATCCGAGAGAGAAACAGAACTGGTATATGATTCACTAAATACTTCATGTCCATCTGAATCCTGCTGAAGCCCTTAAATTCACAATATTCCAGCACCTTCTGTAGTCTTAGATTTTGGAGTGTAGAAATAAGGTCCCCAGGGTAATTGGGCTGCTGTTTGTGATGGTAATAGAGTGGTCTCATGGGACCCAATTGAACAGGGCCTTAGTCCTCTGGTCCTATAGTCCTTACAATTCTTGGTACAGCCATCAAAGAGATCTGAAATAGATCCATCTGGTCTTAAAGGTATTAGATTAAGTCTGATATGAAATGAAGAATACTGAAAACTGTCAAACTTGCTATATTTGTTTCCAGATCTGCCTGAATAACCTGGGGTTACTATAAAGCACAGAGGAAAATTCTTTACTCATTTCAACCTGGAGGTTATTAGTCAGTGTTCTATACAAGGTCAGCAATTACCACATTTTGTTAGTTGGGCACACCATGATAGGTCAAGTGGAATTGAGAGTTAATTACAATAATTAACTATATTAGTATAACTAATAAATACATGGGGAAAATTCTCAGGCATGGCCTAGCCCAGCACTTCCCTACCCCCTTGAGATGATACTGAGGAAAACTTAGGAAGGTATAAATCATGGATACTCCCACTTGAGGTCCAAATGTATGGGCATATTGGACAACCCCCAAAAAGCAATCTACTGTGGTAGAGAAATAGACACACATGCTTAGCTTCTAGTTGTTAAATACAGAATCCTGATTTGATAATTGGGGATTTTCAAAAGTGGACTCTTTCCCTTTTACAGGTCCAAGAAGAACTGCTTAAGGAAGGATTTAGAAAGAAATCTGAGGAGCTGAATAGAGAGATAAATCAACTAAAAAAAGAGATTGAAACATCTAAAAAATATGAGTCATTCTTGATTTCAAAAGCGATTGATGTAGCTGGGAATGTGTTAATTATTGCACTACCTGAAGTCTTTAAGCTAGTTCGTGAAGGGAAGAAAATTCTCAACTAAAAAATTAAATAGGTTTAAATTTCTTGTTAAGAATATTATTAAATGAGGCTTCTTTTGTTTGAATAATGTAATACCATATTCATTTTTGAAATACATATGTCATGATACTTTTACACAGCAAATGTTTAAAAATAAAAAAGTGATTACCAAAAAATATCAGGCCATGGCATAAAAAAAAACAAAATTACTTTTGATTAAAATAAATTAAAGAAACGGGAAACAGCAAGTTAAAAAATATAATGGAAGAAAAGACCAAATTTTTTGCTATAGTCAAAACAAATAAAATACTTCTGAAAATAATTGGAAAGAAGTTAATAAAGTTCACATTAAAATATGTTTAAAATGTCACTGGAAAACATAAAAATTTATAACGATCAAAATAAATACATGAATCCTTGATTTCAGTGTACCTATTTATTTATTTATTTATTTATGGTGATGAATTATTTAATATGACACCAAAAGCACAAACAACAAAATAAAAAAGTAGAAAAATGGTACTTCATCAAAAGTAAAAATTTCTGGGCATCAAAAGACACTATCAAGAAAGTTAATAGACAATTCACAGAATGTGAAAAGTACCGGCAAACCATGTATCTGATAAGAATCCAGGATCCAGAATACACAAAAGAACACTTACAACTCAACTACAAAATGACAAACAGCCCAACTAAAGAACTGGCAAAAGATTCGAGAAGATATTTCAGTAAACATTATGGCCAACAAGCACACAACATCATTACTTATTAGGGACATGCAAAGCAAAAATACAATGACAATGTACATATTTAATGTGATTTCAATAAATATGTCAAACTTTTTTTTGGAAGTAGAAAAACTTTACAGTATATATTGAAAAACTACAAGCAAAAACATCCAATGCAATTTCGTAAAGAGAAGACTATTGAGAGGTGGGTTTTCTGTAACTGTGTATTAAAACACCCCAACAATTAGCACAGTGGTACTGACACCTGAATATTCAAACATCAATAAAACAGACTTAAAACTTTCACTAGTTTAGAAATCAAAGTAATTATTAGTTTTATTAGTATAAAATTTGACAAAAATTCATACAGAAATTTAGTATATGATAAATTTGATACTTCATATTAGCAAAGGAATATGGAATATTCAGTAAATAGAAGTTGACTGTATTAGCCATCTGAAAAAAAATAAACTTGGAGGCTTCCTTATATTGTGTACCAAAATTAATTTCAGATATAGCAAAGATTTAAATACAAAAACTGTAAAAGTAGGTAATATTCAAAAGACTTTAAAAATACAATTCAAGGGCCGGCCCCGTGGCTCACTCGGGAGAGTGCAGCGCTGGTAGTGTGGAGGCCGCAGGTTCGGATCCTATATAGGGATGGCCGGTGCACTCACTGGCTGAGCGTGATGCGGACGACACTGTGCGGAGGTTGCGATCCCCTTACCGGTTAAAAAAAAAAAGTATTCAAATAGAGAGTCCCTTTTCAGCATGATATAAAAGGAAGACATAGAAATTATTCATTTTAAAATATAAGCAAAGCAAAAAAGACAATTGGCAATATGAAGAAGACATTTGCAATTTGTATCACAGATAATGAGAATATTTACTTAATTATAGGAGCCTTTATAAAGCAATGAGAAAAAGAACGACTATTTTTTTAATGGGCGGAACTATAAGAAGAAAATACAGATGATTAACTTTACTGATCAAAAGAGCTGTGCAGAGTGAAACTGTGAGGTGTCTGTTTCACCTCTGACTTGCAAGGCACCACACACCTGCCAGGATACTAGGATGGCAAGAGTATGCAGAAACAAGGAGTCTATTCACAAGAACAGGGAGATAGAGAGCACACGAGATATGCATCTTAATCTTGTTTTCATTATGGCCTTTCAACCAGGCCCTTGAATTTCTAGTCTCCAATTTCTTTCCAAATATTAAGTCACCTGGGAAGTTGATTGGAATTGTCTCTGAAATCCAGTCCATTTCCTTGCACTTTTCTATAGCCTGCCATTTCTACAATCCTTTATCCATTTCCTTATACTTTTTCTATAGCTTCTCTCACTGGTGCTATATTATCACCTCTTTGGCTGAACTTGAGTACCCATCATAGAATTTATTTAAGAAAATGCTTCAGTAACAGGTAGTAAGGTAAGGAAAAAACGCACTAGAAATAAAAAATAATAAAGCAGTCTCCTTTCAAATATACTGGAAATAACTTAAGGAAGAAGGAAGGCTGACAAGCCTGTGTCAGGAGATCTCCTGTGGTCTTCTCCGTGTTCACGTGGGCAGCAGCAGCTGTGCTAATGTGACAACAAGTAGCAAGATGGGCTCCTGCCCCAGGGCCCTGTTGCTAAGGTAAGTGGCGCACTGCGCCATCAGATAAGGCAGCCTGCTGCAGTTGGTGCCTGCTGTAGGAGGTTAGCCACAAACTTACCACAGACATCCTGGAGGGACTTTCCATCTGCACGCATGCGTACACTAGACTTCATCTGTCCTCAAGTAAACTTTTGCTTCATTTTAATACTAAAAATCACACCCCTAGGCGGAGACTTAAGATGCTAATGAAACATGCGATGTATGAAGAAGCATGAAGCCAGAGTGCGCAGGCGTCACCAAGATACCACCCCATACATGTGATGACATCAACCGGAGGTGGTGCCCGGCTTCAAGCCTCACGCAAAAGGCCCCAGCAAGCTTCCCTCCAGGAGCCAGCTTGGAACTCTCCTCCTTGCTGTCTCCCTTCCTAGCTCTAGCTGAAAGCCCCAGGAGAGCCTTGCTCAGGCGCTATTGCGCCTCTGCAGTAATTTCAGTCCTCCCGGGGGCCAAGACTCCGGATCTGGTAACACTTCCACACCCTTCACTGTGTGTCCACCTTGGGGGTGAGCCTTTGCTTTACAGACTGTAACCTCCCCAGGATGCAGATAGTTTGTTTAAATGTTCTTGTCTCCATATTATATTCAATGTACACATGTATGGCAGAATTTAATATGGGAATTTTTTCATTGTAACAAAAAAGCTGGTGCCAAATTAGTGAGGATGGGTGTTTAGGTTCCTCGATTTCTAACCACCAGGAGCTATTGATGTTACCAAAATAAGCCAACATCTTCCATAGGGCCACTTGTTTTCCTCAACAGAAGTGAATGCAAAGGACCAAGTCAAAGCAGTAAAGAAACCCGGTGGCTGTCAGATAACAGTGTCAAACAGAATTCAAAGAGGATCAGAAGTCTCAGGGAGCCCCATCAATGCAATCAGAGTTTAAACTCAACAGGACTCTATGTCAGTTCCTCATCCCTGGGAGATAGGTTGTCTTGAAGAACTCAGAGCTTTAATCCTACAAGAACATGGGGAAATTAAGTGAGTTCCCTGAAGAAGAATTTTGAAACAAAGGTGAAGGCTGAGGCAAAATTTAAAGACCTCGGGCTAACAATGGAAACATAGAGTCAAGATCGGGATTACCTCCCAATGTTAGCTGTGACAGGGTTAGCTCAGGTGTGGATAGGTCCTGAGAACCTGGTTCCGGCCCATGACCCAGCCTGGTAAATTAGAGACAGATTGTGGACGACCGAGTAGGTGATTAGATTAATGTGAAACAAACAAACAAGGCTTTCTGAAATAGAATCAGTGGGATCATATTTTCCAACTAACACACTGTATTTAGGTGTAGTAGGTGGGTTCTGAAAATTTGTGGGTGCTGTTTTGGTCACGAAAATTGGTGTCAGAACCAGCCAGTGTAGTGAAACATCCGCTGATGGTTATATTATTGTTACCAGATCCGGAGTCTTGGCCCCCGGGAGGACTGAAATCACTGCAGAGGCGCAATAGCGCCTGAGCAAGGCTCTCCTGGGGCTTTCAGCTAGAGCTAGGAAGGGAGACAGCAAGGAGGAGAGTTCCAAGCTGGCTCCTGGAGGGAAGCTTGCTGGGGCCTTTTGCGTGAGGCTTGAAGCCGGGCACCACCTCCGGTTGATGTCATCACATGTATGGGGTGGTATCTTGGTGACGCCTGCGCACTCTGGCTTCATGCTTCTTCATACATCGCATGTTTCATTAGCATCATAAGTCTCCGCCTAGGGGTGTGATTTTTAGTATTAAAATGAAGCAAAAGTTTACTTGAGGACAGATGAAGTCTAGTGTACGCATGCGTGCAGATGGAGAGTCCCTCCAGGATGTCTGTGGTAAGTTTGTGGCTAACCTCCTACAGCAGGCACCAACTGCAGCAGGCTGCCTTATCTGATGGAGTAAATCAACAGTGTCCTGGGACAAGAGCCCCTCTTTTTGCCTGTCACAGAAGATTCGCTGGCCTTGCGGTAAGATTAAGAGGGTAATCCTCTGCAGTGGGTAGAAAGAAGCGGGGCGGCAGGTGCAATCCCTGGAACACTACACAGCTCCCATGAGCTGCTGAGCCTGCCATGTCTTATGTCCTGTTTATACAAAGGTATAGGATCCTGTTCACTTCACCTGATCCGTCTCATACTTTAAACCCCACTGACATTATTTCTACCAGCCTTTATGCCATTTAATAAACCCTTTGTTCTTAATTCAGAGAACAATGTTTCCTATGCTAAATCGCCAACTCTTAAAGTGATTATTCTAGGTTAGGGCAATTCACATGATCCTTTATCACTTCATGGGAATACACTGAGGTCAGCATCTAAACACACACAGAACACTATCTATTTTTAAATATTTTAAAGTAAATTACCACATGAACAAAATAACTTGCCACAGTTCTAATCTGCTATTATCATAAAGTTTGGTCTCCTTTATTTAATCACCAGTATAAAATACCTTTATTGGCCTCTGCAACTATAATAGATCCCCCTGATTTCTGTCCAAACCAGTACGGTCCCTCACTGTAAGAGCTTTTCCTATCTGAACTAACTTTACATAATTAACTCAAATGTACCAATTAAACCCTCAAGCATGACAAACTTTTGTATATAATTGTTGGTTCTTAAACACTTATCTAAAAATAATGATCAATTGAAAACCATTAACCCAATACACAGAAGTAAATCATATTTGTTTTTTATTTTATTTTTGATCGACAAA